CTGTACCCCCAGCACAGCTTCGAGAACCCTCCAGACCCAGACCAATGGGCCCTTTGGGGGGGAGGGGCGGGGGAATAAAACAACCGAAATAGCTTCACATCAGGACGCAGACTAACCTTGTGGTTTTTAACGCGCACCCTGCTCTGTCCTAAAATCTGGAACTCATTACCTCATCTCCAAGAAACTGCACGAAACCGCCCCCCACCCCCTTCTTGGAGCGGGGGAAAGGAGCGAGCAAACATCCCTCCCTTGAAGAAAGAAACTTACATTTGATTGATTTAAATTAAGGTGCATGGAAGTTATTTCCCTTCCTGACGCTTGCCAGATTTCAAGAAAAGCTGCAAAATGGGAGCAAAGGGAGGGAAGCAACAGGCGGCCGGACAGCAGAGGGAAAAGCAAGGGCAGCAGCCGGGTTAAAAATGGGGGCCATCAATTTAAGTCAAAGAAGACAAATAAAAGCAGACTAGGTTGGGGGGCGGGGGCGGATCACGTAGGTTCACGGTTGCAGAAAAAGTGTGTTTCGCAAGGATGAAAAACAACCAGTTCCTAAAAACAGTTGTGATTGGAAAGGTTTCGCGGGTTTGCCAAAGGTTGACGAATAAATAAGAAATGCAGTAAAACGTGTGAGTGTGTGTGTGTGTGAGTATGGTGGTGGTGGTGGTGGTGAGCGCGACTCCAGCGCTCTGCTCCGCCCGCCCCGTCCTTTCCAAAGAAACGTGCTCATAATGGGGTGACCTAATTACATCGCAATGGAACCCGCTCTTAGCCACTCAGCACACGGGGTTTCGTAACAGGCCCGGCGGCCTCGAGTGCTGGGAAGAAACGTGCGCGGACTGAGGCGGCGGCCGGCACGCGGGGGAATAGGAAAAACGCAGCCCTGCGGTTTCCGCCCGGGTCCTCACTTCACACGCGCGCGCGAAGGCGTGGGGGCAGGGGGGGGCACGTTAACAACTTTTTATTTGGGTGAGTGGAGGGGCATCCGAGCCTAACAGTAACTAAGTACAATCTTACAGCTTTTAAAGGAGTAACAATCTATCGGGGGCCTTTGGGCTCGGAAGACCCCATGTCCCCCTCCCCCCATCCCGCCCAAACAGCGCAGCATGACAAGCCATATGTTCCGTTCCCGAGGGGGCGGGCGAGGAACAACAATAGGTTAAGTGTCGCCTCCCCCATCTCTTTACTTTCATTCTTGCCAAAGTAACTTTTTTTTTTCATTGTTCAAGCGTCTGGGCGTGTGTGTGTGTGTGTGTGTGTTGTTTCGGCGCGGCCCACAGTTCAGAGAGCGCGTGGAAAGTTGTATGTTGCTGGGTGGGTTTTTTGGGGAAGTTTGGTTTTTTTTTTTTTTAACAAAAAAAGTTTAAAGATCGGACGCGTGAAATAAATACAACTCCCAGTCCTCCTAAAATAAACAACCCCCTCCCCGACCCCCAGGCCTACGATCAGAGAAGGCTGGCTGCAAAGGGAGCGCGAGTGGAGACGGGTGCGGCGCGCCGAATCGTGCTGCGCTCACCCCCGCCAGGCCGGGTCCTTCTCGCGGCGGGGGAAAAAGTCTCCCACAACCCCCTTAAAAAAAAAGAAAGTAAAACTCCGGAGTTGAAGGCTGTGTGCGTCCCACATTTCCAATCTCCTCCCCTGCCAGGTTTGCGGAGGGGAGCCGAGTGCGGAAGACGATTCGGCCAAAGAGTAAGCTGTGCGGGGCACTGCAGAAGTTTGAAGAAAGAGCAGCACAAGATGGAAACCGCAGCGGTGCTCAGCACGGGCTTCTGCTCCCGCTTGCAAAAAAGAGAAAGTCGAGCCCGCCTTCCTGCCCGACAAAACACAACAGAACAACAAGAACCCCGAAGCGGGTGGAATGAGTGATGTCACAGAACCCAGCGCTCAGGCTGACAAAGGAGGGGCGCGCGGCTGGAGAGCAGGGCGCGGGGGAGCCAAGCGAGCGGACTCAAAACTTTTCCTCTTTAAGAAAAAAAAGTTGAGCGCTGCTCAGCGTGGTTTTTTTTTTTTTTTTTTTTTTTTGCCTCCCCCCGCCCCCTCCTTCTTTCCTCGTCTCCCTTCCCCCTTCTTCCTTTTGAAAGTTTTTTTTTTCCTCCCCGAGTTTGACCGCATGGCTGATTCAACTTCAGTGTCAATCAACTTTTTTTTCCTCCTCTTCCTCATTTAAATACGTTTAAACTCCTCCTCTCCGGGCTACTATAAAGCGGGCTTCGCGCGCCGGAGCCGAAGAGTCAGAAAGGCGAGGGGCCCCGGGAGCGGCGTGTGGGACTCCTGACCGGAGAGCCGGAGGCTGCGCCTTCCCCGCACCGGGAGCTTCACGACACACCAGATCTCCGTCCCTGCCCCGTGCGAGTGCCCACGATGACCACCACCCTCGTGTCTACCACCATCTTCGACCTGAGCGAAGTTTTATGCAAGGTATAGTGGGGCGGAGTGCTGGCTTTTTCAAAAGATGTTCCCTTTTGCCCTAAGAAGAGAACCCCCCCCCCCAACGTTTATGTCTAGGAAAGCGGCGAGGGGAAAGCCAAGGGGGGAGCCGAGATAGCTTTGCTTTTCTACGCCCATCCCTCCCCTCCCCAGTTTGAAGGAATTTGGCCCTCTCCTTCCCAGCCCTTGAGCTTCAGCAGTTTCTGGCGGCGATTGCATGGGAATGTAATTCAGAGACCAGCGTTTTGGGGGGCTACGTTTGCGTGGCTGGGCTCCCCCAGGGACGCGGGGGCAGTTTTTCGGTGGTCACGTGCTGCCCGAGCCCCGTCTCACTGGTCTGCTCGGTTTCCCGGTGTGTGTGCCCAGGGCATCGCCGCCACCGGAGGGGTTCCGGTCTCTTTGGCCACATCGCCGGCCTGTGGGGTGGGGAGGGGGCTCCCTCGGGGAAGTGAGTCTCGGGACCTTTTGCCGGGAGATTGCCTCGTCGGTTTTGAAGGGGCTGGTGATCTCCCAGAAAAAGGCAACAGTTGTCATTCAGAAGATGTTGTAGAGTTGCTGTGGGGCTTCCGTTTGCCCCAACTCGGCCCCTCTTCCTCTTAGGATAGACGGCCGTGCTGCAAACTTGCGGGTGAAAGCGGGGCTGGGGCAGACCCATTTACTTGTTTTTTGGGGGACCGCGGCTCCTAGATACCGAGGGTGGGGGGACACCATAACAAAAAGGCCGGTCTGAATTGAAGAGTCTTGGGGAGGAAGGATTTAATAGGGGCGTCCTTAAGCCGTGTAGCTTGCCAGAGGGTGTGAGAAAAGGCAAGTTTTAAGCCCAGAACGTCCCAGGAGGGCGGGTTAAGTGTACATAGCGAAAGAAGCCTGTGGACTCCCCAGTTTTATTCCTAAAGAAATAGGGAAGCTGCTAGGCTGCTTTTAATTGCTGAAGTGTTTTTGCCTTCTTTTAAACACGTCGGGTCATGTTGCTCTCTTTCCTCAGCTCGCTTCTCCAGTCGGCGCAGCTAGCTGCCAGGGCCCCAGGGCTGCAGGGTTGGGGTGCAGGGACGCCGAGGAGCTGAAGAGAAACATCAAAAAGTTGGAATTTCAGCTTCCTTCCTTCCCTGCGCTTTCCCAAACTCCAGTAGCTCCGGCTGCCTGAGTTCTCCCGCTCTTCTTCCTTCTCTTCCCAGCTCTCTCGCTCTTTGATCTGTTTCTCTTTCTCTCCCCCCTCCTCCCCAGGACTTTTTAAATGAACCCCATTGTTGGGAACCGGCTCTCAACTTGGTTCCTGTAATCCGCTCTCCATGGGGTGGTTGCTGTTACAGATTCCCGATCCCGGGCAGCTGATCCTAAGGGACCAACTTTAGAATTTGCACAATGACACCCACATGGGCTGGGAGCCAACTCCCAGGTCATTCCCCACCCCCACCCCCAGCACCCTTTCCAAATCTTGGGTACAGTTTGGGCAGGTGAAACCCGGTGGAACAGAAACCTGCCTGTGGTGGCTCTGCCCCCCGCCCCTCAAGTCCATTATTGACTGGCAGGCAGGCGTGTGGGGGGATTTGGTGCTTGCTCCTTCCTTCCCACCTGCAGCTTTGCGTTAAAGATTAAACACTGGGGCTCTTATTCCAGTTTGCTCCCGGAGCCAGAAGACTAATTGCAAAGGCATCTTCCCAGGGGAGGGAGGTTGGGTGGGCTGGAGAGAGCACTGTGGAAGGCACCCGATTCCTGAGCATGGGGCAATGAGTTTCATTTTCAGGAATCACATCCCTCTTCCCCCCTCACCCCAGACAGGGGACAGAGGGACACCCCCCCCCCACCCCCCCGCGAAGATAAAAGCAAAGGCAGTCTGGAGACCTGTTGCTAAAGGAAGGGAACACTTCTGAAGGAGGAAGTTAAGAGTCTCAGGCCAAGTTTAGTGGTGGTTGACTAAGCAGGGATTGATTAAAAGGGGGTGGGACTCTAGCCTTCCAAGGTTTGCCTGTTTTTGTTAGGGGGAAGGCAGTCTAGAGAGGTCTGAGAGATGTGGGGTCTTTTGAACGGAGGAATCTATTTGGGAGGTAAAGAAGTTGAGTTTTACGGGTACAAGTGGTAGCTTTGGGATAGGATCACGGGGGTCCATTTCTGGGGTCTGCATGGGATAGGGTGCATGCATAAAACAACTTCTCACATGGGCCAGGATTTGGGTTTTTTTTTAATGCACGGGGCCAAAGTAAACCCAGGTGGCTGGTCTGTGGGAGACGGGGGAGGGGGTCTGCCAGGGAGGGGTGGGGGTGGTTTCTTGGAGGTGGGCATTTCTGATTGTGGAGGGGGCTGCCATTAGCAGGTACCCTCGGGCCTGGTGGGTGGCCTTTGTCACTAACCATCCTCTCTCTTCTCTCTCCTCCAGAGTAACAAGATGCTCAACTACAGTACTCCCAGCGCGGGGGGCTGCTTGCTGGACAGGAAGGCGGTGGGCACCCCGACTGGTGGGGGCTTCTCCCGGAGGCACTCGGTCACCCTGCCCAGCTCCAAGTTCCACCAGAACCAGCTTCTCAGCAGCCTCAAGGGCGAGCCGGCCCCAGCCCTGGGCTCGCGGGATAGCCGCTTCCGAGACCGCTCTTTCTCGGAAGGGGGTGAGCGGCTGCTGCCCACCCAGAAGCAGCCGGGCAGCGGCCAGGTCCACTCCAGCCTACAAGACGGAGCTGTGCCGCCCCTTCGAGGAGAATGGCGCCTGTAAGTACGGCGACAAGTGCCAGTTCGCACATGGCATCCATGAGCTCCGAAGCCTGACCCGCCACCCCAAGTACAAGACGGAGCTGTGCCGCACCTTCCACACCATCGGCTTCTGCCCGTACGGGCCCCGCTGCCACTTCATCCACAACGCCGAGGAGCGCCGCGCCCTGGCCGGGGCCCGGGACCTCTCCGCCGACCGTCCCCGCCTCCAGCATAGCTTTAGCTTTGCTGGGTTTCCCAGTGCCGCTGCCACCGCCGCTGCCACGGGGCTGCTGGACAGCCCCACGTCCATCACCCCACCCCCCATCCTGAGCGCCGATGACCTCCTGGCCTCACCCACCCTGCCTGACGGCACCAATAACCCCTTTGCCTTCTCCAGCCAGGAGCTGGCGAGCCTCTTTGCCCCTAGCATGGGGCTGCCCGGGGGTGGCTCCCCGACCACCTTCCTCTTCCGGCCCATGTCCGAGTCCCCTCACATGTTTGACTCTCCCCCCAGCCCCCAGGATTCCCTCTCGGACCAGGAGGGCTACCTGAGCAGCTCCAGCAGCAGCCACAGTGGCTCAGACTCCCCCACTTTGGACAACTCAAGACGCCTGCCCATTTTCAGCAGACTTTCCATCTCAGATGACTAAGCCAGGGTAGGGAGGGTCTCCCTACCCACTCCACCCCATCCCTACATCCCCTACCCTCATCCCCCTGTCCTGCCCTACAAGCCCTTACATTGACAAGGTTAAGCTCAACCCCTTTCCCCTAGAACCTTGGAATGCCCACCCC